TTTTCCTCATTTTCTCCTCTTTAGATGGAAAAGAGCTGATTATTGATTTCCTTAAACTAACCCACCATACATTTGAACATTTTTGTTCCCCTACCTCTTCTTTGCTGTAATCCCAATTCCATCTACTTTTTTAAAAGTGTGTTCTCACTCAGTGCTTTAATTATTCCTGTTGCCACCCTGTGATCCCAATCTAGTTTCTTTCCATAGAGCGCTTAACCAGCCTCATTCTTCTGCTCTGTGGTCAGGGCCTTCTCAGTTTTGTTAAAACACAAAGTAGAGCATTGACCCCACACTGCATAGCACCTGTGCACTAAAAAGGTCTCCTGAGTTGAGTTGCAGTCGGTTGCAATAGCTAAGGACGTTCACTCTTAAAACACTGGAGAAGTTGGGAGTGGGTGGAGTTACCACCTTGGCACCACTACCTGGATGCCAATCAGGTGCTTTCAGAAGCAAAGACAGGATTACTGGTTCAAAGTCATGCTGAAATGCCCTTTCCTTGTGCTGTGCCAAAGGAACTTGGTTGGCTCCACCCACACTGTCCAGATGCCGGCCTGATTTAAAGCAACATGGGATCTGGAGAAAGGGACAAAAACTTGCCATCTCTGTAACTATTGTGGAAGATACAAAGCAGCATAAGAAGTTGCCTCTGCCTTTAATAAACTTGCATTGAGACGAGGAGAAAATCAGTGGCTGTATAAGGTGTGATATAAGATAGCATCTATGAAATATGAGTCCAATGTCAGTAATTGTTCCCAGCCCCGAGGCATCGCATCGGAGCTGGGGGAATGGGAGGAAACTGTCCGTTTCATCAGGAGGCCAAACCTGAGTGAAGCCAGGGAGGCTGGGTGGGGTTGGCGTCGGCAGCAGGTGAGAGGAGGTGTCTGTCCGGCAGTGGAGTGGGACGGGTGGGGAGGGTCAGGGTGACAGGAGTAAAGCGATCGTGTTCAGGAAGGGTGACAAAAACTTTTGGAAGACACGGGGCCTTGAATGCAAGTCAAAGCCGTTCTTTGGCAGAGTGGAGCAGGGGACCCACCTGATGAAAGGGGTCTCTTACTTGGAGGGTGCAGGGGAGGTTGGGCAGGAGAGCCCAGTAGGACAGTGAGTGGACGCCCCCGCTAACTGCTTTGTGTGGTTTCTGATTAAAAATAGCAATGCATTGGTGCCTTCCTCTGTTTTCTCCAGGCTCAGCTTATAGACGCCCATGAAGCTCTCTCTCACGGAGCCTGTCTCCGTGGTGCCTGGAAGTCCAGAAAAGGCAAAGATGCATGACCCAGACCTCGCTGTGGGCTGCAAAGGGGAAGGGGATTGGAGAGAATATGGATCTTAACGAAATTTACCTATGGGCCCAAAACGCAAACACGTGCACTCGTCTCAGATTGGCTTGCCTGGGGTAGGCAAGGTCCCAGGGCGCAGGGCCAAGTTCTCCCTTGTGCCCCTGTGCCTGGTACTCCATTACTGCAGTACCCTGTGCCAGCATGGAGGACTTTAACGCTTGTGTTTGTGTTGTGGGTCAGATCTTAGAAGGCAAAAAACCCCCCCAAAAACAACAACAAAAAAAACACAGGTATACTGAGAAATATGATTCTGGGTGATATCTTTGCTGTTTTAGCTGGTTATAATTAACATTGTTTGCACATGAAGCTTTACTAGTGTTAAAAACACACTTAGTACATAGTCAAAGATTTTATTAATAAAAAAGGCACCAAAATGATTCCCTTCCAACCAACGCTCTTCACTTACTATTGTAAATTCAAACTCAGAATTCAATACGAGCCTGGCTTCGGGGGCCCATTTTTGCCATCTGGTTGGGCTTCTAAGTGTCTTCTTTCCCAGAAAAGATCGTTGATTTTTATGGACATTTAGAAGTTAATGTGGAAAACTATTTCAATATGTTCTTTTGAGGGTTGGTGTTTGCTTCCAGGACGATGCATTAGCAAATAGTTATTTCTGGTGGGAAGCTGCCCCCTCACGCTATTGTTTGTGAGTCTCTGCTCGGCTATTTTGAGCTCTGGGCTGCAGCGTCTAGTACTCGATTCTCTTAAACATGCTGCTCTGGCTTTTCCGAGTAAAGGCTGATTCAGTGACGCCCTCCGCGGCAGTGGGATTTTTGATGGTTTGGGAAGACACTATGTCATAGTCTACCTTTGTATTTTTTTTTATGAAGAAAAGTTTTGAGAAAATAAATCAAGTAACATCATAGATGAAATACAACACTTTCAAAGTTTAGTCGTAAGTCAAGGCTGGAGGACCAGGATGGGAAGTGTTTGGTGGCCGCCATGCCAATGTACCAGGGAGCGCGTCAGAGTTTCACGCCTTCAGAGTTCTTGCCCCACGCCCAGCTGCAGTGCGTGGGGGCTGGGAGGCGGCGGGATGGTGCTAGCCCAGGCAGAGTGGAGCAGGGTTGTGACCTGGCTGTGGGGCAAGTAGCCCTTCTAGAGTGCCTGGCCCTTATCATGGATACAAGCAGGAATAACCCAGGTTACACCCCTGTGAGGCCTCCACTTCCCCAGAGCGAGTTCAGAAGGACTCCTTTTGCCTGTGATGGGCTAACAAGCTGGCAGAGGGCCTGACCCCAAAACCAGCGCTTGCTCTAAAAATGGAGGAAAGGACCCGCCTAAGGCTCCTGGCCCCCAGTTAAAATTCTTGTGTTGTTCAAAACTACATTGAAAGCACTGATCGCGTTCAGGCCAGTTTCATAAAGCCATGTGAACTAAAAAGGCTGTGCAGAGGTGCCCTGAGGAAGCAGCAAGTACAAGAAGTCTCTAAAACTTTAGAAGTTGTTCTGAAGCTGTCTCAGTAAATCTGTCTTAGCATAGAGACCACCCAGTTGCTGCCAGATCTTTTTCCAAAGGACCTGTGCATTTTTAAACTTACCCGAGCTGGTTAGAGGGGAGGTTAAAGGGAATCGCTAGTAGTCCCAATGCATTATTCTTTGTACCTCTCATGACTTTGAGAAACGCCAGAGTTTGGATGAGTCATCCTAACTACTGATGCCACCAAAGGTTGAAATCCAGGGGAACCTGTCAAGTTCGAGGCTCGATTCAACTTGATTCAAAAAGTGCATTCCTAGTATTTCCTTAGATAACACAGTTGAAGGTTCCTGAAGAGGAATCAAAAGAAGCGAAGAGGAGGACTCTTGCCCAGAAAGTGCTTTGTCATCTTGAGGGAAAATAAGATATGCACATAGAAGAGTATTAAAGAAAAATCCCTAGGGTATTCTGCGTCACGCCCCTCCCCCCAGGGTGGTGCGCACTGCTGTGGAAGGAATCTGCAGTCAGGAGGAGGTCCTTCCCTCTGCGAGCTCCCTCAACCCACGGGACCCATTAGGTGAGGAGGAAGCAGGTGTGAGGACAGCAGGGACGCCAGCAGGTTAGAGAAGGCGGCAGGTGGGCCATGCGCTGTTTTCAGGTAACGCGATCACAGCAGTGTTCATAGGATGGTCCTGTGCGGGTGTGATGGACTCAGGCCCTCATCTTGGGTTAACTGATTGTGAATTGCAAAGAAGGACGTCATAGCTGCAAGGTGTTGATCTGAACAAAGACTGATGAATCCACAGTGGAAAGCTTGTTGGTAGGTTCTGTGTCACCTTGACTGTCTTTAAGAGTTTGCAATCAGTGCTCTGGCCGGTGTGGTGGCCCAGGTGGTTGGAGCATTGTGCCATAGACCAAAAGGTTGCAGGTTTGATTCCTGGTCAGGGCACACACCCAAGCTGTGGACTTGATTCCCAACCAAGAGGCAACCAATTTCCCTCTCATATCGATGTTTTCTCTCTCTCTCTGTCAAGGCAATGAAAAAATGTCCTCAGGTGGTGAGGATTAAAAAAAGCTTGCAATTAGTAAACACTGATCGCTGAGGGTGGGAAAGTAGTTCCTTCAGCCAGGATCTTACTGTGATCAACACTAGTTCATTTACATGTGTTAGTGAGTCATGGGAACAGGAGGAATCCTGGAAGAGTTCTAGTAGGTCCTTAGGCAAACAGCGTAGTGACTGAACTCACCTGCTTCATACCCCAACTAGTGTCTGTCTCAGCTGCTTGCAGGAATAATCAAGAAGAATCCTGGATTCTTGGCCTAAGGCCCTTAATCATATGGGCATCCCACAGCCTTGGCATTTGAGGGGTTAAGATCGGAGGTTCCCAGCTTTGGCTGTTGCTTCCCAGTCCTTTGGCAGCAGACAACTTGACTCTCAGGCTTTGCTTTTGGACAAGTTCCTGCTGCCTCCTCTGGTCTTGTCTGAACACGTTGACCAGACCTAGCGCCTGGCGTCCTAGGCCTGCTTCTCTGCCCCGTCTGTGTAATCCACAGCTGCACAGGCTTGAAAGAGGCACCTAAGTCCAGACGCAGCAAAGCATCCCCTTTGCATGAACCGGGGTCCCGAACAGTGGTTTTATCTTCGGCACGTTCTGTTTTCTTTCCTCTTTTGACTGTTCCTTTTGATTATCTCACGTTCTGTAAGAGATAAATAATTGGCTTCTCCTATTTACTGCACAAAGAGAAAGCTATGGGAAAGTATTTCCAGAGTGTGAAAAAATAGATGTTGGACGTTTTCGCTACTGCTTTTCGTGGAGTGGGAATTTATTACTCAGCCTAGTAACAATCTTGGCTCAAACAAAGCAGTTGTGTGGGCAAGCAGTGGGTTCCTTTCCTAAACAGCACTGCCAGGGACAGCTTTGTTCGTAGCTGAGACAGCATGAACCAAGGGTATCTTTCCATCAAAGACTGTTTGATTATCTCTGAATCTCAGACATAACACGAAAGCCATTGAGACCTGGCCAATGGATTTTACTGGTATGAGATATTGCATAGCTCCCAAAGGATAGGAAACAAGAAGGGGAGGGAGGCAAGAGAGAGATCAGAGCCCAATAATAAATAGCTCTTTGTGTCAGTCCCCACCCCTAAGCCCAAACCACTGAGATCACAGAGTAAGTGAACAGCACACAGAGGGCAACTGCCCCAGCAGCTGGGCAGACGGTGACCAGATGTGAACTTGTCTCTCCACAGTGTGCGGCTGCGACCTGGCACAGGGCGGCTTCTTCATAAAGAACGGGGAATACCTGTGCACGCTGGATTACCAGAGGATGTACGGGACGCGCTGCCACGGCTGTGGGGAGTTCGTGGAAGGAGAGGTGGTGACTGCCCTGGGCAAGACCTACCATCCCAACTGCTTTGCTTGTACCATCTGCAAGTAAGTGAGGGACTCCTGGCAGAGGAGCGCAGGGTTCTGCTGCCGCAGCTCAGCGTGCACACCTTGAGCCTCCAGCTGTGCTTGGTCTTAAAATACCCTTCCTGATGTGTCCTTAAAATTCTTAATTTTTCTACCATATTATCTGTCTTGGTCAAAAAAGGTAATTTATGATGCCCTCTACTAAATAATAGGACTCATTCTGAGTAGCTTGAAACCCAGCCTGCGAGCCCTCTGGGTCTCAGACCCTTTTGAGCAGTGAAACACTGGGAGGAGACGACATAACTGATTCGAAAGATAAGACTTGTTTGGAAGTAGACGTTCTTGTGCGTGCGTGTGTGGGTGTGCACATGCATGTCTGTGAAGTAGTCTCATTTACTCTACAGCAAGAGTGGGCAAACTATGCTCCGGGTGAGACCTGAGACCTGTTTTTGTAAATGAAGTTTGATGGGAACACGGCCACACCCATTTATGAATGGTCCATGGCTGCTTTCAAACTACAGTGACAGAGTCGAGTAGTTGTGACAAAAGCCATAGGATCCACAAAGTTTAAACAAATATCCATGAGCTGGTATTTTGGGAGAAAAGTTTGTGGACACCTGCTCCCAGCTCATTTCTTGTCTCCAAGGGAATCTCCTCGCAGACCAGCTCGGCGAAAACAACCTGTCAGACACCAGGGAACTGTGACGTGTGAGTGGGGAACTGTGCTTTTGTCGTGTTGCTGTGAGTGCGGCCCATCGTGGAACATAAGGGGGATTTGACTTCTGTAGTGATGAGATTCACAACCAGGGTCAGCCGCTCTGCTGACCTGTTCTGATTGGACAGTCCTGGGAGTGTCGGGACAGTGGTGATGCTGTTCCATGTTGCTACACTTTCTAAAATCCACCGTGCAGAGAAGGTGTTTTGTTTTGTTTCTCAGCATTTCACATGTGTGAGCCAGAAAGATGTAGACTCTAGGGAGGTAAATTTAATTGTATGTAATTAATTAGCAAGATAATACTGATAGATGAATCATAATAAGATTCAGATGAAATATAATAAAATTATTTTAATAATTTTATAATGAGTAGCCCATTTCTCAATACATTTTTTAAAAATCGTTAACTAAAATTTTTTGATTAATGAACTGAAAATTGTTGTATATTTAATCAAAGGCAAACTGTCCTCTTGGCCCCTCCCTTTCCAGATGGCAGCCCACAGTCTGAGTGGCAGCCCAGGGCTGGCGTTCAGGAGCCCCTAGCTCCAGCCCTGCCTCCCAGGCTGACCTGAGACTTGTGTGAATGAACTTTTCCAAGGCGGTTGCCTCGTCTGTGACATGAGAGGCTGTGCTGGATGTGAGTGATTCACCAAACCCAGATGATCGTTGCAGTCTCCTTATGGAGCATCTCTTTAAAAATATCCATTTCTAGTCTTCCAAAAACAAAACAAAACAAAACCCCTCTCATGCTGATTTAGCTGTTTTTGGAGGGTTCCCCGGTATGATGCGACCCAGCCAGGGTGGAAGGCCCTGGTCCAGATAAACTCGAACAGCCCTCCTGATCCTGGCCCTGACACATCCTCGTTTTGGTTGGTAAGGATGGATGGACATTTATTAACAATAACCACATCTTTGGGCACTTGAGACAGCAGAGAGGTGCTCACTATTGCTGCTGCTACTGCTGAGTGACAGCATTTCTACCTGAGTCTGCAAATGTGTGCACACAGGGTGTAATTCATTTCACCCCCCCAGCAATCCTGTGAATCAGGAATTGGTATTCCTGTTAATGAGTGACTCTGAGTCTCAGAGGTTAAGGGACTTTCCCAGCCTAACGTTGCAAGGCTGGGATTTGAACTCAGGTTTCTCACACTACTTCCAGTTCTGTTTCTATTACAAACATGCAGATAACAGAACACAGTGAACCCCCATGGGCAGAGGACATAGGGAAGGGGGAAAGTACCTGAACAGGGTCATGTATGAAATGATAAAACTTAAAGTCCAGAAGACCTGGTCCTGTGATGAGAACTGGACTCCGGCTGGGTGTGTAGTAGGTCTGTACAGGATCCAAGTTTAAATATATAATCTTAGATTAGAGTCAGGGGCTGGACTAGGGTGAGGCAAGTGAGGCTCCTGGAGGCACAATTTAAAGGGGCGCCCACAGTGAGGGTTGTGCAGTGCAGGGTCAGCTCCTGAGGGTCGGGGCCTCCTTAAGTGCTGTGTTCTAGGTGCATCACTGGCCTCACCCAGCTCCCGGCCCTGACAGTGGCAATGAACCTGTGCTTGTGCTGTGGGCCCTCAGCTCTGATGCCCTCCTCACCGAGCAGTCTGGGGGCTCACTCAGGTTTATCGAGTGGGATCCTGCAGTCCTGCTGGCATCCAGCAGGGTGGGACTCTGATTATTAAAGACAGCATGTTCTGAGCTGGTGGGCACGACCTGCAGCTGCTGGTGGGCTGGCCTCCCTAGCTGATCAATCCAGGCAAGTCACCGGGCCTCTCTGGGCCTCATCTGAACAATGAAAGGAACACTGCAGCGCCTCCGCCCAGCATTTCTAAGATCTAGGGCTCCGAGCATTTACAACTCTCCTCCATGCCTAGCGCCAACCGCATTGATGGAGCTGCCTTTAGTCCGTTGTTACTTCCTGTATGTGGATCATAGTTAATTACCACTGCAGGGCAGCCGAAGGGCAACATAAGGGGGAGTAGCAGCTATGGAAGTAAAACTCGGGTCAGGAAGCTGACTGTGTCCGACCTAAAGAACCGCTCTGACTCAGAGGTGTGGGGTACTTTGCTCACGAGTTTCCCATTTCCAACCGACACAATCACGCATTTGAAAACTCAGGTTTGCAAAGATTATTGGCAAATCGCCCAAGTGCAAGTAAGTAGGCATGGAAACTCATATGGCTATTAATTAACGACTTCTTAAAAATGTTATCTACCTGCTGAACTGGAGAAGAAACTGATAACGTACACATAGACGGCAGTATCTTTTGCAAAATGCACTGTTACTAGTGAACATCTCATGTGAAAGGAATTTCTCTTTCTGAAGAGAAGCTCATAGTAATTTTTAAGCACATATATCTATAGCGTTGTCATTTTTCTCCGTAAGAGTCTGGGTCTCCCCCAGCACTCTGTTCAGGTCACCCATTCAGATGTCCCCAACTAAGTCTCATTCAGCATAATTTATCACATAGGTCTTGGGAACTGAACGAGTTAACACTTGACCCGTAACTGGTTCTCTTGGGACGGGCCTTAAGCCTGAATAGGAATTTGTGGCATTTAAAATGTTTCTTCATGAAGGACTTTCCGTTCGGAAAACGGAAAATTTTACTGTGTGTGCTCCGTGAGGGACTCATCTGAACACCCCCCGCTAGTGAGGAGAGGAGAACCACCCCCTTTTACTCTGCGGGTGCCCGTGGAAGCCGTGCGTTCTCCCTTCCCAAGCTGAGGCACGTTTGTTTGCTTGGACCGTAGCCATCGGGCTGGCCTGGGGAAGGTGGCATTTCAGATGTTTTGGCTGGTGCTCCTCCAAGAAGTGAATTGGCACTGGAGGGCAGCAGGCCGGAGGAATAAGGAACTGGAATGAAATTGCTGGAATAACCACAGAGCAATGTCTTTCTGTCTCCAGGCGCCCCTTCCCACCTGGAGACCGCGTCACGTTCAATGGGAGAGACTGCCTTTGTCACCTCTGTGCCCAGCCGATGTCGTCCAGCCCTAAGGAAGCCTCCTGCTCCAGCAGTAAGTGCCCGGCTCCCTGTTGACGTGAGCTCCTCACGGCCCCTGGGTGGCTTAGGCAGGTGCCTTCCTTTCTGTGAAACTCAGTTAGCTGAAGCCAAGAGTAATGCTATCCAGGGCATCTCTAGTTATAAAACATGCAGCCTTGATTAAAACCCATGCAGTAAAGAACATCTCCCTTACTGCAAAAAGACAAATAGAATTGGACACTAAACTGTGCCTCTTGACAGTAAATGAGGGACAAAGAGTTATAAAAACTTCACATTAGAAATTCTGTCTCCAGTCATGGAGGCTGAGATGTGAGAGCATCTGGTGGCAATGTGATTGCTATCTCTGTGTGTTAAAAACTGTCCCCACTGTGCCTAGGACACATGAGATGATCTATACTTTCCCTTAACGGATTCTTTTTTCTTTCTTACCCTTAAATAGTCTTTATTCACTGGGAAGGGTTCTGACCCTGAGCCTTTGGAGCGATAATGTGCTGAGTACCTACAATGTGCGTTGTTCATACCAGCAACACAGGCGTGGGCAGCACCCAGTCAGCATCCTCAAGAAACTTACTTTCTGGTGGCAGCAGATAGATGAGAAATGCACCCACAAACATATCTAACATGTGGAGAAAATTAAAGCAGGAGGAGGAAGGCCAAAGGGGCCGCATTTATGGGGCTCAGTCAAGGTGACACTGGGGAGCTCGCTGGAAAAAGCAGGACCACGCTATGTGGTGGTGGCATTTGTCATTCATTCTTCATGCAGGGCTTGTCTGACCCGCGGGAGTCAGAGAAAGCCAGCCTCCCCCAAATAGAAGGGTAGTGGTCCATTGCACTATCTTTTCTCAGGAAATAACAGTGAGCAGGTCAGTTAACCTTCAAGTGAGATGTATCCTGGACTCTGGGCATCAAACAAGGACACTTGACCTCCATCTCTTTCCCGGGGTTTAGGGAGTGGGCAAGGGGTTTGCTTTGGTTTTGGTGGATTTTGCCAGTTCTTGGGAGACCTGGGGGGAAAAAATTATGCCCTGCTGGTCTGAGCCCATGAGAACGAGACAAGCTACTTCTGCTGCGGAGGAATTCTGCGCAGTTTGTAACGGTGATTCCAAATCTTCCTGTTAAAGCAGAAGAATCCTGATGCCTGTTATAAATAGGAATGTTCTGACTGAAGCATTTGCATAGAAATTGGATTTTCACCATGGGGAGGGAAGAAGAAAATAAATGTTAGGGCACGTTATTCAATAAAACCGGGCCCTTAGCACAAGGATGTCTATGCCCTGCTGACGAATAACAGTGGCCTGGGTAGGACGATGGCTGAAAAGTGCTGTGCTCTTAGATGCTCAGTAGGGTTTCCAGTCCATCACTGTCCTCACCTACTCTGCCCCAAGCAGGCTGGGCCAGGAGAGGGTGACAGCATCGTGCCCTCCGCCTGCGAGAGGAGTGGCTGTGTCCTCAGATTCTGCGGAGTCCTTCAGTCCACCGATCTTTCTTGATGGGTGGGGAAGTTGAGGCCCGCGGGCAGACTCCAGTACCCAGACGTAAGGCCGGGCTAGGGGCAGGCCTCTGGGCTCCTGGTTTGGAGCTCTGTCTATTGTTTCATCTAATATTCCTCATCGTTTGGATTAGGAAACAAAAGTGGGATTTCTTTTTTTAAGAACTGGCAGGCAAATCAACCTGCACTGTTTGTTTATTTTTTTTAGGATTTTATTTATTTATTTTTAGAGAGAGGAGAAGGGGGGGAGAAAGAAGGACAGAAACATTAATGTGTGGTTGCCTCTTGCATACCCCCAACTGGGGACCTGGCCCTCAACCCAGGCACGTGCTCTGACATGCAAGGGAACTGAACCAGTGACCTTTCTGTTTGCAGGCCAGCACTCAGTCAACTGAGCCACACCCACCAGGGCAAAAGTAGGATATGTTTAAAGGTTTCCAGTCCTCTCCATCCATGCAATTTGGGAACCTGTTTCCTAGCCACAGCTCTACCAGAATGGTTATTCCTATTTTTATTAAACACTTTTTGTGCTTTTATATGGCATACAGGTTATGTAAATTAAAAAGAAATAAAAATTGTAACTGTAAAAATGTATCATACTCCAATTCACTGAATCTCTAATGGCAGATGTAGTACTTATTACTTGCGAGCATATTGTTAGCACAAACCATATTTTCTCCCTTGCTCCCTGCAACTGCCTTGATCAGTTCATTGTTATTTTCGACAAGTCCTTGTCTATTTAGGTGAGCACTCAAATAGAATTTATGGGGCCTGTGGGTGTGGGCATCTGCTAAAAAGAGAGCTCGGCAGTGTGGGTGTGCACATGCAAAACACCCAGACGACACAGGCGCACGGACACTCGAGCAAAGGAGTCTGAGCGAGTGTCTGAAATTCAGTGGAACATAATCAGAAAATATTCGGCCGTTATTGGTAATTCTTGAAGAACTGCTTTGTGCAGTGTTTTAAAACTGTCCTGATGTGACTTTGATTCTTTTTTTTTTTTAATATTTAACTTGGCAAAGCTTTCTGAATAAAAGCTAAATAAATGAAACTCTTTATTGATCATGTTCACAGAGCTGATGAGAGAGAACAGAGAGCCCGGTCCTCTTTTTCTTTGAAATGTTCTTTGAAAAAGGAACACACTTTTATGTCACATACTGTGGCCAGTTTTCCATAATCACTGAATAGCCAGTGAAGACAGCATGAGAGGGAGAGAAGAAGTGAGGAGAGGCGGGCAGAAGCCAAGTGATTTGTACGAAATAGTCTCTGTTCGAGCTTCCCAGACCGAGGCGTGGTTTCCAAGTCTCCAGCTCAGGAGCTGCCGTGTCTGCGTGGCTCTTACGGAGAGGCAACTCCCACTGAAGTGCCAGCAATGTCTCGGGCACTCAGATCTGTGCTTCCTTCCACCTTACAATCATTCTTCTAACCTTTACATCTATTTTATTTTCTTTCCCCCCTTTAATAGTTTTATTTTATTTAAATTTTTTGGGGTTCCAATTGTTTGTTGTTGTTCAAGTACAGTGGTCTCTATTTTCCCCTCCCCCCTCCCCCCACACCACCCATCTCTAACTCCCACCCGGGCTCCTCCCCCTCTTTGGCTTTGTCCATGTGTCCTTTATACATGTTCCTTGAAGACCCTTCTCCCCACCCCGTGACCCCCTCCCCCTCCCCTCTGTTCACTGTTCACATAGTGAACAGTATGTTCACATAGTAGTCGCTGTGTAGCAGGCACTGGGTGACTGGTCTAAAATTTTCAACACACTTAAACCTCATTGCTCTGCGTCGGTATGAAAACTCTCCCCTTTTCACAGATGAAGAAACAAAAGGTCACAGAGGTTAGATGATTTGCACGAGTTTACACAGACACTGAGAGGTAGCTAGAGCTGGGACACAAACCCCAGCTGTCTGCCTCCAGGTGCCATTACTGTCCCTGACACTGATTTGACAATGGAGATATCGCTCTCTGGTTTTCGAAGTTGGAAGTTCCGAGCCTCGGAGCAGTGACCTGACTGGGCTGCGCAGTTCCACTTGTCCTGCCTCCGAGGGCTGTGCACTTTCTAGCTGCCGCAGTTGCCTCCCTGCTGGAGCAAGGTTCGGTGAGTGGAAACCATCAGGAAGTTTTTCATGGAAACAAACAACTGCAATTGAGGATAATTGCCCCTGGATTGATTAAAACTTGCTTTCTAATGCAATTTGTATTCAATAAGCAATAGCCATTTTGTAACATGGAGATGATAGTAAGTTACCTTACAGGGTTGTAATGAACATAATTAGATTGCTTTAACTATTAATAAAAAAAATCAGAGGCCCTGGCTGGGTAGCCAAGTTGTTTAGAGCGTCATCCTCACACACCAAGGCTGTGAGTTCGATCTCTGGTCAGGGCACAGACAAGGAGCAACCAAGGAGTGTGTGGGTGGGTGGAATAAGAGATCTATGCTTCCCTCTTCCTTCCCTTCTCTCTCTAAAAATTAATGAATAAAATTTTTTAAGTTTTTTATTTTTTTCAAATTGCTTATGTCTAGCTGATCCATACTTTGGAAATAAAATGTATGTTCAGGAGACATTACACTCTACCAGAAGGTTGCATACACTCCTCTAAAGCTTAATTCCACTCCTTTCTCCATGTATTTGCCCTTGAGCGAGGGACTGGATTCCCACGGGTTAAGAAGCCGTGTGAGGGGGAGTCTCTGTGTGTGGCAACCTGGAGCGTGGGGAATCGGGTTTGGATTGTCATTTCCTACGTGACTTCTGTCTATTTCAGGCACCTGAGCAGGAGTGGGCTGCAGTCTACAATCACCCTTTCCATTTCAAAGGGTGTCTGACTAGCGCCTGATTGTGCGTGGGTTGGGTGGATTGACGCAAGGCACACCCACAGCTCAGTACCTCCAAACCTGCCTTCTTCTCGCTCCCCGCCCTGGAAGGCACTGCCATCATTCTTACTGCCTTTGGAACTCCTGCAGGTATCGGCATGAATGTCAATCATTTCAGATACTCACGTGCCTGTGTTCAAAGGGGAGGAAGAATTTTTCACTTGTTTTACTTTTCTAGTTGATGCAAAGCTTTTAATATTTACAAGGTCATTTTTCTTTTACCTTCATGGTCTCTCAAAAAAAATCATTTGCTGGTTGAGTGGGACTGACTTGTCTGCCAAGGCTCCTAACGATAAACAGGTGAAGTATTAATGATCCGATGCCGGCGTCTGACCGCCTGGGTCGGGTCCCAGCTCTGCCGCTGGCTGGCAGTCTCTTTCCCATTCCATCCTCTACTTCCTCATCTGCGAAATGGGGTGGCGATAGGTACCTACCTTGTAGGGCTAAGTGAGTAAATGCATGCTGTATACTTATAAAACAATAACTTACTGCTCAGGCACTGATTTCCAAATTTTTCCGTGGACAGTCCCTACTTTTTGTGACTCTGCTCTTTTCACTCTCCCATTGATCGTAGCTGTCTCTATCTGCTCATGGCTTGATTTTCTGCCAATATAAAAGCCAATGATGGTCTGAACACATCCACCAGCCATGGAT